GGACCAAGTCACAATCCCCAATAACCAACAGCCCCGCACTCGTCATAGAGCGCGTGTCTCGCCTCAATATAGCGGTACGATGTAAAATTACGGGGTCTCAAACCCTCAGTACATCATTTATACCCATTACTCACCTCAAGCCGGCCCAAAGTCTAGCTCGCTATGCCTTTTCCTCTCGAATTGACCTCCTCGCGCGTCAAATCTGATCAAGACCACAAGGAATACATTACAATAGGCTAAGGGGATATAACCCAATCGAAAAGACTCGAAAAACATCGAAAATCACGAAGTTGGCAAAACCCGAGCCCCGGGCCCACTTCTCGAAAAATTATAAAATTCACATCATCGGATTCCTCGTCTCGCCACGAGTCCATGCATATCAAATTTATCAAAATCGGAGTCCATTTGACCTTCCAAATTCCATTTTTAACTTATAATTTCTCAAGCCCTAACTTACCCCTTTTTTGATGAATTTCCACTAATTTTCATGTTAAATCTACCATAAACTCGAATAATTAGGCCAAGGGACTTACCTCCAATCGATTCCCAGTCGAAACTCTCCAAAATCCTCGCCCAAAGCTCTCAAGGTCGCTCAACAATGGTGGAAAATACCCCAAGCTCGCGGATGAAATATGATATTATAAAACCCCTTCTGCCTACAGCGATTTTCGCTTATGCGGTCTCGCTTCCGCATATGCGGGACCGCTTCTGCAGCCATTTCCCCGCTTATGCGGTTTCTCACTTAACTTACCATTCTGCGGAACCGCTTCTGCGATCCATTTCCGCAGAAGCGGAAATACCAGATGACAGAAATCTCAGACCTGAAGCAACTTCCAAAAACTCTCGTTTAACCACTCGAATTCACCCCGAGGCCCCCGGGACCTCAACCAAAAACACCAACACATCCTAACACCTCATTCAAACTTGTTCCACTCCTCAAAACACATCTAACAACGCTAAAACCATTAAATCACATCGGATTCAAGCCTAAGTTCTTAAAACTTCCGAATTACGCATTCGATCAAAAACCCGACCAAAACACCTCCGAATGACCCTGA